CAGTTCCGTAAATGAAGATTGGAAGAAGATTATGTTCAGTTGTGGAATCAAAACTGCGTTGCCGATTTCAGCAAAAATAATTGAATGTTTTGAACAAGCAACTTGTACAGGAGGAGGCGTTTTGGGATTGAGATCTAGGAATTTTTGAATTGTTTTTTATGGATGGTTGCAAGTTCATTTGTGGAATCGAAGGACGATTCTACTGAAGGTATGGTTTTTGAGTGCCTTGCAAAAACAATTTACTGTTGAGACATTTTCCAAGAAAAACCTCACCTGAGTGAGTGCTGAACATTCCACATATTGGACAGCTTCCAAATCTCTTGCTAATTTGTCTCCCATTTCTTTCGTAATTGGCTTTTGCCTATTCCTGGCCAGTTTGTCTACCACTGTACGCTCATACCGTTGATCCACCTTAAATGTGCTTCTGCAGGTAGGATAGAAATCAAAGGTTGAAAAATATGCTTATGCTCGCATGCTCCCGAAGTGTTCACTACGCTAACAAATTGGTTGAAAGAATGGTACATACTTGTGTGCCCACTAATAGAAATGGGATATTTGGGCTATAATGAGCGAGTTCTGGGATCCACTGAGAATAGCTTTTATTGAGTAGGATTAAGGTATTTAGTATAAGTTATTACATAAGCAAAAAACCTTTCTTGAACATTCTCAAACGAAATTGGTGCAACTACGGAGAAGCAGACGAGGAAGATGTCAGTTCCCGGGTACGAAAGAGGTCGAAGACGATCAAAATCTTCTTGACCGGCACTGTCAAAAAGTCCAAGTGTGTATGGCTCACCACCAATCATAACAGTGACCTATAAAAATGGTAAGCACTTTGTAGTAGGATGATGATGAACATTTTTTGTTTATGGTAAGAATGATTTCCCGGGCAAATACCGACGTAAGAATTGGAAACCATCCCCATGTGTCAATTCATACATTCCAATATTACTTCGTTCAATAAATTGGGACATCACTGATTCTGTGACGAGGCGACTCAAACCGCTTTGCGCAAACTGTTTAAAGGCAGTGTTCAGGCAAAATTCGATCGAGATTTTGTGCTTACCTGGGCCTATTGCTATGCTCAATCCGAAAATCCACATTGAAGAAAGCGAAAACGGCAAATAAAGTCTCTAACGCAGGAAGGAAGCAGCAGGTGGGCGGGGACTTCCCCACTGTCAATTCACGCTCCCAGCGTCCCAAGCGATCTTCTCGATTTCGTAGCTGACCTGACACCTCCACCGGTCAAGCGAAACGCATGATTTCAGATCGGAATCGGAAAGATCGCTCTGGAAGCTGGGAGCCGTGAGTTCACAGTGGGGAAGACTCCGCCCACCTCTGATTTCATAGATGCGTTAT